AAATAGTGTAAAAATATGGTATATCAAGGTTGTGGACCCTATAGAGGTTACAATTTTTATCCGATTTTGTTGAAACTTGAAATGTAAGTTGATAACCCAAGGATCTCGGTTGCTTTCAATATTCGCGCATATCGGACCGTAACTTCCTGAATTATGGCCCCTGATTGTACGAAAAATCACGTTTTTAGCTTGTGGACCCTATAGAGGTCATAATTTTTATCCGATTTATAAAATCATATTATTATATCACCGTTACACCCCAAGAACGACTGAGTTCGAATTTCGTGAAAATCGGTCAAAAACTGACAAATAAAATGGCCACCCTTCGTTCTCAAATAGTGTAAAAATATGGTATATCAAGGTTGTGGACCCTATAGAGGTTACAATTTTTATCCGATTTTGTTGAAACTTGAAATGTAAGTTTATAACCAAAAGATCTTGGTTCCTTTCGATATTCGCGCATATCGGACCGTAACTTACTGAATTATGGCCCCTGATTGTAAGCTTGTGGACCCTATAGAGGTCATAATTTTTATCCGATTTTGTTGAAACTTGAAATGTAAGTTTATAACCAAAAGATCTTGGTTCCTTTCGATATTCGCGCATATCGGACCGTAACTTACTGAATTATGGCCCCTGATTGTAAGCTTGTGGACCCTATAGAGGTCATAATTTTTATCCGATTTAAAGATACATTATGGGAGATATTTATAGAGAGTTGGCCATTCTTGCTATAACAGTTCAAAAGTAGATGATGAAAGAAGAATATATTGAAAAATTCAGTCAAATTACTTTATTCTGAACATAGTTATCATCGTTGTAATATTTGCCTAGAAATGGTAGCGAAATGTGTCTTCACCTTCGCCGAACGTTTGATTGACAGGCGTTAACTCCACCTACATATCTCGATTATCAAGTAAAGTTTTCAATGGCATACGGAAACGCTTTACAGCGGCCTCGCTAAGTACACTCTATCATTTAGCCTCGATCTAACTGACGTATTTTCATCAGGTTACCCCTTATCTGATTTAATCAATTAGTGAAATCCTATTTAAATCCGAGCTGTAGCCGAGCCATCCGTGGGTATACAGAGTTGATTTTGGTCTTGTTTAAATAAAGATCTAATTTATAATTTCTATAACATCTGAAGCCTAAATTAAGACTTGCAATAATCAGATTTAGCTCTTGCATAATGCATGTTTAAAAAAACGTTTTATTATATCACCGTTACACCCTAAGGACGACTGAGTTCGAATTTCGTGAAAATCGGCCCAAAACTGACAGACAAAATGGCCGCCCCTCGTTCTCAAATTGCGGAAAAATATGGTATATCAAGGTTGTGGACCCTATAGAGGTCACAATTTTTATCCGATTTTGTTGAAACTTAAAATGTAAGTTAATAGCTCAAAGATCTTGGTTCCTTTGATATTTGCGCATATCGAATTGTAATTTCCTGAATTATGGCCCTTGATTGTAGGAAAAATCACTTTCGTTTTAGCTTGTTTTCTATCCACCTCTTGAAAATGTGGGCGTATCCTGCCTGGCAGCCGCTGGTATATACTATAAAATATCGTCAAGCAGTAGTAAGAAGTTTTATTTTATATTTTAATCCCTTCAAGTGCCTGTGAATCTGACCCACTCCTCTTGAAGTGCCACGGCCAATTCTTGCAGTGTTGACGTTGACGAACACGTCTCCCGATCAAATTAAACGTAACACACTTAAGCAAAGGTACGCTAAACAATAAATCTTATGCAAGATCAAATTAAACGTAACACACTTAAGCAAAGGTACGCTAAACAATTAATCTTATGCAAGAACCGATAGTGGCGATAGGAAAGCAAACATGGATAGGATAAACCAGCAAGCGGCAGTTTTCATCAACCCTTCCTTGAAGTGTCAAATTTGACAATGAACCCCTCCAACGTGTATGGCGCTATTGTGTCTCGCACATGCAGCTCAGTAGTTCTGTTGGGGCGATAAGTTCTTCATCTGTGAGCATACTCTCAAAGCATGTCAAGCGTCCATGACTATTTGTCATATCACAACCTGCAGAGGTATTTGCATTTCAATATTCCCTACTTTTTTCGAAGAGTATATATTGGTCCGTGTCCAACCCCTAGGAGCACAGTCATGCCAAATTTTTGTGTTTTTTGTCTACAGGCTGGAATTCTGAATGGAACGTGGCATATTTATTTTTGAAAGGATAGTAACAGCCACTTTTTTGTTAATTTTTTGTCTGTAAATACTCTAAATGTTGCTATGATTAAGGGCAATGTGAAGTGACACCATCTTGTTACATAGTAGTATCAACACCAACAAGGCTGGGATATTATTTCCCAACACAGAATAATGGCCCTTGGATACAAACGTCCAAAATAAACTCTATTACTCACAATACACTATTTCACTGTCAATGGCCCCTTTAATTCGTACATTCGCGTGTTGTCAGGTAAACGAAAATTTCAGTTTCATCACTTTCTTGCCCAATCGCGGTAACACAAAACGATAAAACTTGGGGACAGATATTATCTCTCTTTTCATACTCTGATCTATGTAGTACAGTAGTCGAGTCTTAGATATTCGAGTTGCTTTCCTATTTCCTTGTAGTGTGAGATTTCCACGTCTTTCTACCACGGGTTTGGGATCCGCCATTTTTGTTTTCAATCTTGAAAATGACCCTTCATATCTTAAAATAATCGTTAAACTGACAACGCTTAGCGGAACATTGTATAGATATGCAAAGGTTTCATTTACATCACCATACATACAATTATGTCGTATTCCCTTTAGTAATAACACATTTCGACGTTGTATAAATGTAAATAATGTTTCGTAGGTAGCTTTCGTATGTTCTTGACCTTATGCTAATATCAATGAGCAAAGTGTTAATTTTAAATACAAATTTTTAATTTGAACAACTGCGGAATACGATTGATTCATATCAAAATACAAATGAGGTGTCATTTACGGGATTTGATAATATTAAAAAAATAAGTCCTGCATGAACTCATTGATGCGAGCAACACTTTCTTTGAGCGGTAATTCGACACAGAAAGGTAAATAAAAATGCAGTAAATACTTTTTGACTTATACTATCACAATTATCCTTACATCAGGTGGTAAATCGTAATATTATAGACTATTGCGCTTCATTTGCAAGAACTGTCACATCTTTTAATATCAACATTATTCTGTAAATTGATGAAAACAGAACTGTCAAAATCTAAGCTATCATGGCTGCCGTTGTCAAGTGTTGGTAAATGTTAGCAAAAAGGCTTGTTTCTAAATTTTGGATAGATTATTATTCATTTATGTTAGAATAATAATCATTTTGTGGGTCTGATATAGAATTTGTTACCGAGATATAATTTTTGGGGGGCAAATTCATTTCTATGGAGTACCATTTGAAACACAACATATTTTCCAATCAAATGGACCTTTCCACATTCAATAGTGGACTATTAGTGTACAATCTAAGAATAAACAATTTGTTGATTGTGAATAAATATTGAATAAAATTTATAACAAATTATTTTACTGTAAAACTTAGTAAAAATGTTCAATCTTTAATTGTCAGTGCATCTTTATGCTTCCGGGCACAAAGTTTCAAGGGGTGAATTAAGAAGTAATACAAACGACAACAATGTGTATTCATTATAAAAAAATTGCTGAAAACTAAAAGCTGTTTCAAGGAAATTGTGATGCAGTATTTACAATATTCCATACAGACCTGAAACATTTAATCCAAATGATGTTTATGATGGTACACCATACAAAAAGTCTGAAAGTAGTCACTTGGAAAAAAATGGAGGATATTTGAAAAATAAAAGTTTAATTATATGGACGTGGTGTGCTAAAACAAAGATAGTTTTCAAAATTGATGTCTTGATGGCTGTAGTGTATACATGCAGGTATCTATGTGAGACTTTGTGATTTCCCATGTTGAGTTGTTTATCCTGTAGTTGCGCAGTGCTGAATGTTATATTTGCTTCATATTTTCCAAAGTCATTATTTTTGATTCTCATCCATTTTTTATTGTTCAATATCATCTCAAGCACGTCTAGACACCAAAGAAAGGCACTTACGGTGTTGTGAATGATTTTTCAGGACCCCCCTCCATTTCAGGTGTTGTGACAATTTTTGTCACTTTACCTTGTCCTTAACAGATTTTGTTCAAATTCAGCATATCAGTTATTTCAATAACAGGGTGGTACCTATAGTTATATTTGTATTATCATCTACAGGTTCCAATTCTGAATGGATGATCTTGGAACTTTGCATATTTATTCTTTATACCGTAAAGACACCAACTATTAATTTTTTGTGCATGTCACACCCACTTTATTGTTGATATTTAATCTCTAAATTTGGCAAAACAAACCCAACGCCTTGCCATCGTTGCCTATTGTCATATATATTGCAGCTATTTCATATTTCGCTCTCTTCATTTTAAACAGTATCATATCAACGAAAGCGGGAATTTGGACGTATATTGCAGCGTTAGCGATTATCGTATAGATTTCAAACTGACCCCGAAACCGCTCAGAAATCCAATGGGAATTGTCTTGAAATTATAATTCCAGTTAGTCATATCATACCTGTTCGGTTATTGTGTGTGTGTTGGGAATTTTAAGAGCTCGCCCTATTAATTACCTACAAGAATTGACAAGAGCGTTTTTGTCTACAGCAAAATTATGTATAATTGACATTTTGACCACAGTACACAAAATTGATTGTTCCTAGATGGCCATATATATTGCATAGTGCACAGCAGTTTTCATTTTAAAATATCTCTATTCAATTTTTGCGTATGATAATTCACACACACACACAGGAACCGCCCTGTTGAATCCTTGTCGAATTTTACTGGACAACTGTTTACTGCTAAACTAGCTGAACTTCAGCCTATGAACAGCTTATTGGACAGTTTATTTCTGTATTCCAGCAACAAGATTGATTTTTGTGTCATTCAACACTTCCTTATTTCATTTCAGAGTAAAACAACAGTCGCGATCAGTCATCAACAAGCAAATCTCAGCATATTGAAATTTCAACAAAATGTTTACACAGACTTTATTAATATTTCTTGGTAGGTATCATATATCAATCTTATCTTAATGTTTGTTTTCTTATTTTAAGTATTTGTTTTTAAAATTGTATGTTACACACCCTGTAAAAGCTATTTCTACATATTGATTGTTACATCAATACGTTGTTCAAAAATGTGTTAAGCATCTTCTAAAATAACGGCATTTGTAGACTCAAATCCAACCAAACAGCTTACAATGCATCAACCAATTTAATTGCTGAGCCCACCTGGGCGTTAAAATCTGTGTATTGCCAAAAGAACTTACTTTGATACGGCTCGACAGAGTTTTCGGGAACAAGTATAGTTTTCACGGTAGCCTATTCAGACAATGGTTATTGTCCCCCGTCTTTCGAAGAAATCAGGGGACTATTAAAATGGGTCTGTTAGCCTGTCCGTCCGTCTATCTGTCCGTCACATTTTTTGTGACACAATTCTAAATGAACTAGAATGTTCAATGTGATGAAACTTGGTGTATATCTTTATCACATCAATACCTTGATTAAATTCGATAATGAGTATTTTCGGCTGAGGGTAAGCTGAGCGATGTGATTGGTCGAGACTTTGGAGCTTGACATCTTTGATTCTAATTGAGTGATAGTGATGAAACTTCGCGTATAGTCTCAGATGCAAGGAAATCGACTTCAAATTTCCAAAATTTTCTGGGAGAGGACCCCATACCCCACTTGATGCTCTGCGTTCAGCCACAACGGGTCAGCCCCGCCCTTATTTTTCTGCACACGCCCCTGAATACCTTACCAAAGTTCGATGCCGAGAAAGGTCATCGGGATTTTAAGAAGCTGTTCCTCCTTGTCAGTGGTGCAGGACCGAGGGTCTGGCAAGGAAGAACGGATAGTCGTGCGGTTTGGACGAAAAACCAAGGTTTCGTGTACACATTGACGTGCACGCTAAAGGTCCCTTGGCAGTTGGAATTTGATAGAAGAGTAAGCCGTAGCGTCGCTGTCCAGGCAAAATTTCCCTCATAGCACACTGTATGGCGTATGTCCGTCTTCATTAGTCCAGTCGGAGCAGTATAGTATGACGCTAAACCCCATTTCATTTCCTTCTAATTGGGTTCAATATTGGTGTAAGTGTGTGATGCCTTGACAGAGTTCGATCATGCACACTTTCCACTAAGGATAAGCAGAGATAAGCAATTTGATTGGTTGTTGCTTTGGAACACAATAACTTTGGTTCTAATTGTGTGAGTCTAATTGAAATGAAATGATATGGGGTTTAATGTCCTACTGTTCTGCTCCTATACTGGGCTAATGATTGGGTGAGAGCGATGACTAAGTTCGATGATGAGAATTTTATGCTTAGGCTGAGTAGCGATAACCATTTTTATGTTAAGACTTTGTAACATAACAACTCTGCTTCTTATAATTGAGGTAGAATGTTTAAACTTGATGTAGATGTTCATGAAGTGAATGTCTTGACTGAATTCAATGATTAACATTTCCTGCTAAACCTAAGCAGAGCTAAGCAATTTCATTGGTCGATGCTTTGGGACAAGATAACTTTGATTCTAACTGATAGAGAGTGACGAATCACCGACTTGGTTTGATCATGAACATTTTATGCTTTGACTAAATATGGATAATCAGTTTGATTGCTCGATACTTTTGAAAAAGATAAATGTGCAGTTAATTAATATGTGTCGCCTATTTATCTGGGGATTTCAGCGGGGGGCACCAGCCTAACTGTTGGCTTGTTTATTTATAAGTAGGATTAGAAAACAGTTGCGTACACTCATGTTACCCCATTCGCCTTATATAGTCAAATAGTTAGTTTCTGCCTTAACTAGTACTTGTGATTAATGTGTCTTTTATGGCAGATGCTTGCTAAATACAAGGTATTAGATATGCTAAACTATTGATTAACTGAGACTTGCTATTATGTGATGAAAATTAAGGACAAGGGGAAGGAGACCTGGTTTATGTATTTTAAAAATGCGCATTCAATGCCTGATAATAATAGCACATCATGGAATATAAATAAAATTAAAAATTAAGAAATGCGACCGCGAGATTCCCCCGGCCCCGCCCAAACACACATTTAAAACTTGAGAGTGGGAGTTATTTTAAGCCTTGGGCCTTGCATGGAGAGAGAGAGAGAAATGGGGTTTAACGTCCACTCGACACAAACTAGGTCATTTCGGGACTAACATATGGTTTAATTTTATTTCAATAATTCGCTTGCGCGTAGGGGTCTTTAGGAGTGGGAGGAAACCGGAGGACCCGGAGAAAACCCACGAGGTTGGACAGGCGACCCTACTCCTTGTCACGTACAACCGGGGATTCGAAACCACGCCAGCTGACTCAATGACAGGCTTTATGATACAGCACGCACGTGCTAACCATTCGGCCATCCCCACACCTTGCATCGAAAGAACATAGCTCGCGCGAACTGCTGGTCAAGTGGTGAGCGAATAATGTTTAACAATAACATAATACAAAATTGTATGTACAAGCAATGACTTTATACTGGCCAGAACAAGAAAAGCTTTCTACTTTTTCGATAATTTTTTTTTAAGCAAAACCTTTATTTTATCGCTTTCAAACCGTTATATAATATTATAACGCACGTCATATTCTTCTTTAAAGTTGTAGATTGATCAGGGTTTAAGTGTGGCATTTGAATATTATACCAAATCAAAACTCTTTGTATATACGTCTATAAATTTTGAAAATATTTTTGTTCTAAGGATTGGTTGGATGCAGTAACGGAGGTTCCGTATCGGCGTCTCCAAAATACACGTGGCCTTTGAATGGAGTATTTAGAGGAATTGAGACTAACACGTATACGTATAGTTTAAATCACGACCAAGTTGAGAATATACCAGTTCAGCAGAATGGTAACCCTAACCTGATCGAACAAAGTACTTTGGTATTTGATGGAACTTATTTCATTGATGTTCCCATAACTGCAGATCACAACTTTCAATCAGTAGCTATAAGTTTATATATTCAAGCTAAATATGATACCAGACCTAGAAGTGTGTTTTTTCACTACAAATCCACAAACAACGAGCAGTCCAAAATAACAGAAATAATTCTGGAAGGAAACTACAAAGACTTAAAATTTACTGTGAAATTCGGAGACGGTGCTATCTTCACCGAATCATGTCCGAATGATTATAAAACTAGCTCCGTTTTTCTGGGAACATTTGTACACTCATTTACCAGTGGACGGGCTGGTATTTACTTTGATTGGGAGCATAACCACCAGATCGATTCGATATCAGGGAGGTCATTAAGTGTACCTGGAACTGTTCGGTTTGGTGGTCATCAAACAGATACTGCATATGGTTATATTGGGCAATTGTCATGTGCTTCTATGTTTGATATTGACGAAGACATAGACCCAACTTATTATGCTTCTATCTGCAATTCAATTGTTACCCCGCCAACAACAGGTAAATATGTTTTGATGAGTTTTGATAATATCACTATATAATTAAAAAAAAACAAAAAACTATAAATGGCAGCTTAGGTCCTCAAAATATTAATAGTGTATAAAGTTACCTTATGTTAAAGATATGTTAATTCCGGCCTCTCTGAAGGCATGATATATTGAGGCTCAATGAAATCTTATTTCATATAAACACAATTTGTCCCATAGAAATGTTCCTCCGAATGTAAGCTTCAATTTAACGCCAAGTTTGTTAAAATCGGTTGAGTAAAACTTTGTCATCGTTTTCCTTGGTTTGCAAAAAAAGTTATTTCGAATCGTGACGTATTCGTTTAATAAGTAGTGCGATTTGTAAAACATTGGACAAAATATCATGAATTAGCAATGAATAGACTTTGCCGCCCCTGTCAGTATAGTTTATAAACAATAATATGAGATCTTCGTCCCACAAAACAAAGAAAACGCATAGAGCCATTTTTTTCGGTCTTGTCAGCTGTCAAAAAAACTGGTTATTCGAGATCGAAAGAATTCCCCCCTTGTCTAGTGTCTGTGTACCAGAAATGACCAAAATGAGGCTACAGAAGCATATTTCTATACAGAAACAAAGAAAGACGAGCTATTATACTTACCGTGACGTTCAAAACAAATTCGGATACTATTATTAGATCAACCGAGGTCAGGGCTTCCCTCCCTTTGTCCAACAATCCTTACCTATCCGGCGAAGTGAACATTTCTTTCTGTTGACGATTTATGTTTTTAGGGGAAAAGAAGACAGGTACTAAAGTATCACCGAGAAATAGTTTGAAAAGTTAGTGCGAATCTTGGACATTAAACGAGTTTCACAAAACGATTGTAAGCATTTTAGATAAAATCCACTAAAATAATATATTAAGTTAAAATTTTATCTTAACTTTAAATAGTGGCGTTTCATAAAACCATTTTAGGAACAATTATAACTAAAATCAATTTTAACTTGGGACAGCCGTCACCCACTCCTAACTTAAAATCACGACATTAAAAAACATTGATTAGGGTACGTTGTTAGATCTATTGCGACATATATATATATTTGGAATAATGATAATATTGGCAAGGGCCCGGTCACATAATTTTAAAATATACCACCATTCACAAAAACAATTTTTATTCAATTTCTTTCCGTAGCATGAGAAATACAGCTACGGTCCACCCGTTTGGTTTATTTTACGGTAATTTAAACGTTTAATTGACGCCCCTAATTAGAAACCCAGTAAACAAAACACTTTGTTACTGTTTTGTATACATTACCATATGATTTAACTAAACAGACAAAAAAAAACCCAACAACAACAATCGTTTAAAATGGTCAATATCTTGGTGGTAGAAGGCCTAAAGGCCTATAATATTACTAGACATGCTATCTGCAAAATATTTACTCATATGGTTTTGGGGTTATGATGATTTGTAAAAGATAAATCAATAATCTCAAATGTGTTTATTGAAAAATGTTTTAGGCCTATTTGAAATTAAATTTTAATATCATAAATTTATTATTATTTCTTAAAGACGGCTTACGTTAATAACACAACATAAATCAGAGAAGGTATTTTATCTTGGAGGAAAAATCATTTGAATTGAGTAAGAGAGTCATTTTTAAAGTATCATTGAAAGGGTCTATCATCTAGATGGGGCTGACATTCTGGCATTAGAACATTTAAATACTTTTAAAATTCAACAATAATTTACAGCCTAGTTTAGTCGTTTAATTCACAAATAAAATAAAACCAAGTACGAACAATCCAAACCATTAGACAAAATTCGAAGTCAAAAAAAAAAAAATCATACGTTTTTGACAATTCTCGATAAGTTTCTTTTATCCAAAATACCATAAAACTACGAAATTCAAGCGATTCAGTTTATCAGTGCGCATTATTTACATTGAAACCCGTGAGTAAATCAAACCCCAAGGTCAGGGAAGTAGCATGCAAGTTCAAGGCAAGCCCAACGATACATTTCGAAACAAATAATACTCATTTATATCATCTCTCTAGGACTGAATGACCATGTGCAAACATTGCTACAACGTATGAAACTCTCCCCATTGATATTGTAACCGTTAGTTCAACCTGTCAACAGTTTTCAGTTCAGATGAGTATTTGCTTACACCCTAAGTGCCCGCACCAGAAATGTGCACAGCGCGGGCGCATGCAATTTTAAGTTATAATCGATCTTCGTGAAACGCATAAAATTTAAAATTTCATTTTGATTTTAGTTAAAATCTATTTTAGTTTGTGGAACAGGGCACTGGCCATTCTTGCTATACTTGTTCAAAAATAGATAATGAGAAATGAATATTTTGAAAAGTTCATTTTAATTTGACAAGATGTGGCATAGATTCTTTATTATCGTAACAATGGAACTTGTTATTTGAGTCTTAGCCTCGTTTCACCATTTTTAAATTAAATCATATTTTAATCGGTTTAAATCTCGGCCATACGATGTTCAAGAGAGTTGATAATAGGCTTGTCATTTGAATAAATGTCTACATATATTTTATATAACTTTTGAAGCCAAAATAAAGACCTGCAATACGCAGATTTAGCTCTTAAATAATGCATCTTTATTACTGTGCATCATACATTAGAAGATAGATCGATACGCATATAACGTGTATTATTATTTTCAGCCCCATCTCTTGTTTGGCCCTTAGATGATAAGATGCAGGGCTTTGAGGTCAAGACGAATATAGTGCCAACCTATAATTCACTAAATCCACCACGATGTCTACCAGGACCATTAGATCTACCAAACAACGCTATGGCTTTTGATGGATCGTTTCTGTCTTCTATATCCACATCAGTTCCCCAAACCATGCTCCTTGGGGGCGAATTCAGCCTGGCGGTGTTCATATTGCTTGACATATACAACGATGGTGACATTATTTATGCAAAAAGTAGCCTCCACGGATTCTTGTTGAATGTTCAAAATGGAAATCTCTATTTATCTCAGTTCGATCATAGGCGGACCACGCCATGTGCCACGGTGACAGTAGATGTGGCCCTAAATCCACTTCAGTGGTATATTGTGGTAATTCAAAGAAGTATGAACACCACGCACTTTGTTCTCATTGGTGATAGTTGGCTTAAGGTCAGTGATCAAGCTACTTGCCAACAAATGCCTGAGCCAAGTCCAGCGGTGAATATGGATGTTGTATTAGGTGTGATGTCAATGGAACAGGAAGGATTCAAGGGTGCGTTGAGATGTATGGTTCTGTTCGAATTTATTCGTCCAATTCCTGTTTTGTTGGACATGTTAAACACCAGCTGTAAATCCCAGTATGAAAATAATATTACAGGTAAATATGATTTTGATATAACGAATGAAAAGATTTAAGATTTATTTATGACAACTACCGCTACTTAAATTTATACAGGAAGCCTTTTCGAAAAAGATTGCAATGGACTTTTTGAATAATAATCGAACAACCATGTCTTGTTGTGACCTGTATATTCCATTTCAGTTACTAAATGCCATTGAAACAATTTAAGCCCTTGTTGTGCAGTAGCTCCTATAAATGAGAAAGGACCGGCATTATCTCCGTTTTATGTACATCAAGCACGGTCCTATACAATCTGATTAAAACACAGATCCTATTTCGTTGCGTTTTTATAGTTCAAAATTTCGTTTTACTTGTCTTTACTACACTAGGATCTGGAAGAGTTGTTATCATTGACGTGTTCTGAATAGTGTGAGGTATTAGCCAATGAAACGGTCTCTTACAGCGAGGTTTAGGCGTGCTTTGCACTGAACTGTGGGGAATCCACTAATAGCACTAATGCTGATTGGTTAATCAAATGTCTGACCGGCCAGATCTTCATGTAGTGTAGGCCATCGAATGTATAAAAAAAACGAAACGAAATATAGATCTGTATTTTAATCAGATTGGGTCCTGGATAAAATCTTAATAAAATCCCTTGACGTTTTTATTCTGACTATGTGGCCAGTTAAATATTTTGTTATTTCTATTGTAGTCGAATTCACGAATGCCAAAAAAAGAGTTTCGAAGCAGGCAATTGTGTCCGCTAACCATCAACCACCAGCTTTTGCCCGTCATCTGCGTAGTTTTACCAGTAAATCTCTAACATTTTGTGGTAAGGAGTGCCTCGAAACGCCTTATTGTAGGTCTTATTCCTATGGGACCGACCGTACCTGTGTTCATTATGACGTGTTCGTGAAGAATGGATTAATTTTGTCTCCGAGAACGAATTATTACACACTTGGTTACACCCTTGAATAGCAGATTCGCATGTGAATATAATAATTTCCATAAATCTGGGCTTGAATTTAAGCAGCCGCGGCATTAATTTGGTTGACTGGGTGGAAATTACTACAAAACTTTTTTTTTAAAAATTTTTCACGGCTAGCTAGCTGTTGTTAAATCGCAGCATCAAAAGCGCCCAAAACTGACAGTGTTTAAAGTTAAGTAGAATTAATGGGGGCAGTTGCATATTTTCACACATAATAAACGTGGGCTTATTGTGACGATATAGGCAATATAGCCTTTATACTTCGGACCTTATCTGAAAATCGTAACTCAAAAATAACCAGACGTTCTGAAATGATCACTACATTTTCTTAACAGTAAAAGTAAACGTGTCATGATAATCTCGACCATTATAATTTCGGAAAATATACAATAATGCTTATTCAAGCAGTTGCACAGCGTTGAATTTGGGTAAAGCGACCAATCTCACATGTAACCGGAAAGGTTTTTTTTTCAAAAACGCACCACAGAGCTTTAGATAGCATCAGTCTTTAACCCTTGCTTTAACAAAGATATTCACTAAAATATATCTTGTAGGCACCCTTTAATAACACATACGGTCACGTTTACCATGGTCATGTTGATCGATAAGTTACGAATTTTACGTATACACGATAATCTATACACAAATAGAATGCGGTATGTCACGGCAAATTGCAATGTGTGAGATCGGCTTAAAAAACTAAGATTGTGGCTATGATTATTTCTGTCATAAAGTATCACAATTGTTTTTATTAAATGAACTTCGTTATTTGTTGACAAAACTATTGAGATTATATGTATCATATCAAAAGATTAATGTATCTATCTCTTCGTAGATATCTATTTTGCTTTGAATAGAACGTTCTGACAATATCTACGTATAAACAATCATTTTAATGGCCTGTCTTATGAACAATGATTTTGAATAGTATGCTGAGGAGAAAACAAACATAAAGCTTATCTAAAATCAATCTACATTTTTTAAAAATGAATGAAGTGGTTCTGTATTAAAGATTTTCTAATTATCTTTAATGGCTATCTATTTCATAGGTGAAGCACATGTTTTACTGGGTTTTCGATTCAATAAAAAGAAGCCTATTTAACTTGCCTGGAAGATTCAGTTCAAAACATAAAGCAGCTGGGAAATGATTACCAAAAACTGTTCATTACTATTACAAGGATAACAAAACAAAAAACTGTGCTAGGGCGCTCGCCTTCAATTTACAATTTAGCGACCTGATAATGTGCCCATACTATTCTCTCCCCCCCATCCCGTAAATATAAGGGTAATTGGGGGGGGGGGGTATCTGTAATAATATTGCTAGAATTTTTGCTCTTGAAATTAATGGGAGCAGTATATTTCATTAATTAATATCTTTGGTGGACAGTTATTAAATTCACATATATGTAGAATTGTATTAAAATCAACTTAGTGAGTAAGTGACAGTTGACACATAAACAGAGTTACAGAACCAAAACATATCTGTCTGTATGTGTCAATAAAATACCACGAGATATCACGTGCATGGAAATTTACCATTGCATCTTTTGGCTTAATTTAACCAATCATATCGTTAATTGCACAGGTTCAGGGTCATGATCATACTTGATTGTGCGTGATATGCATGAGCTCTATAAAAAAAATCATAGTAAACTTTTAAATCAGACTTCCATTAGATTCCAGAGAGGTTCCATCTGAGTTCCTAGACAGCCGCGAGGCTGGCTAGGGTGGAGAAATCGTTTTAGCTAGTATTGTTATCTATTATGCTCGTATACCTGTATTCGGCTATGCTATATAAAATGTAAAAACGAACTGTTGCATTGTTATAACTGAGAAGACAAACGTCTTAAACCAGTAAGAAGCAAACACACAACGTGAAGGAGAAGCAAAGACAGTTAGAGACAAATTCTAGACGATCACAAGGCTACAGAAATATGTAGTAAGAAAAGATGCATGGGTCGTATGTAAGATGTGGCGACCGGTTTTAGTACGTGTCCTCTCTCCACGTCTGACTAAAGACTCATGGTGCTGCATATCGAGGGATGGCACACAGGCTTATCGAGGCATAAGTTGGTCGCTATCTATCGGCTGGGTTAGGCCTCGGTACGATGTTATTAAGTCTCCTCAGAATTTCATCCCAAAGATGTTCAATCGGGTTTAAGTCCGGACTAAGGACTGGCCAGTGCATAACGTTGACACCGTTCTGCTGTAGAAAGTCCTGAGTAACTCGGGCGGTGTAGGCACGGGCGTTGTCATGCTGGAAGCTGGAAAACATTGTTTCGATGACGTGCGGAATGTGGTATGACGTGGGGTCTGAGAACTTGATCGATGTAGCGCACTGCTATGATGCCGCCTCCTCGTGGTAACCCTTGGTCTACCAGTTCGGGGGCGATCATCCGTGGTGTTGGTGGCCCGAAAGCGTTGCTGAAGCCTGTAGATGGTCCGAATATTGACGTGCTGTCTCAGATGCCTGTGCGAAGGGATTCTGCACGCGCTGTCGCACAACATGGCGGTCTTGTCGCCTTGTGATAACCCTTGGTCTACCAGTTCGGGGACGCTCATCTGTAGTTTTGGTGGCCGGAAAGCGTTGCTGAAGCCTGTAGATGGTCCGAACATTGACCTGGAAGTGATTGGCAACGGCTAGGGCAGTGTGGCCAGCGTCGAGTCTTCCAAGCGCCTTGTTCCTCAGAGCTGTCGTGAGTCGTGGCATGCTGCTGACGTTGTAGTGTGAATGATTCAATCAGGTATGGGGGTGCATTTTATAGGGCGGGTCCCGGTTAACAGCTCGTGCAGCATGAGTTACATGAAAATCATGGAGAACACATTACCATCTCAAAAGTCAGGTTGTGTTTTTGAGAACATTTCCTGGGTTCAATTCTGTGTTTGGGAAGGAGCCTTATTGCTCAGGTAAAGTTGAAGATGTGGTCACAAATATACAATAAAAACATTTGGCAAGTTTTATGCAATGCGTCTATTCAGAGTAACATACCAACCTGACGTTTCTTTGCGGCTTAGTATACTTATTCCTTATACCCTAAGGATGATCCCAGTTGTTTTTGGTACATGCCCGACCCCCACGGTATTTGTTTGTTTTTCGTCTATATGCCGCATTTCTTAATGTATCATCTTGAAACTTGGCATAGTTATTACTTATGCCCTAAGGAACAAAGTAACATCATATTGTTTGTGGTGTATGCCCAACCCCGAGGGGCAGAGCCACGCCCATTGTATTTTTTGTGTGTCGCCTACAGGCCGTAATTCTTAATCGATTGTTTTGAAAACTTTTCATACTTATTCCTTATGCCCTAAGGACCTAAGGATGACCTCTATTATTTTTGGTGCATGCCCGACCCCCAGGAATAGAGCCACGCCCAATTTTTGTGGGTGTCTGTGTTTTGCCTACACGCCGCAATTCTTAACAAATTCTTTTGTAACTTTGCATACCTATTCCTTATACCCTAAGGATGATCCCTGTTGTTTTTTGGTGAATGCCCGACCCCCCAGTGACAGAGCCACACCCATGTTTTTTTTGTGTGTCTGTGTATTGCCTACAGGCCACAATTCTTAATGGATCGTCTTGGAACTTGGCATATATATTCCTTGTAGCCTATGGAAGATAACTATTGATTTTGGTGCATGTCTCGACCCCCAGGGGCAGAGCCGCGCCCAATTCTTGGGTTTATCTTATACAGGCCGCAATTCTGAATGGATCAGCTTGGAATTTGGCATATGTATTCCTTATAGCCTAAGGGTGACAACTATTGGTTTTGGTGTACGTCCCGACCCCCAGGGGCAGAGCCACGCCCAATTTATGAGCTTAGCGCCTGAAGGCCACAATTCTGAATGGATTATCTTGGAATTTGGTATACTTATTTGAAAGTTATTCCTTATACCCTAAGGACGGCAACTATTGATTTTGGTGCATGATCCCCCCTCCCCTTTTGGGCGGTGCCACACCCAATTTTTGTGTAAAGACTGAACTTCAGAATGGATCATCTTGGAACTTGGCGGTATTTATTCCTGTAAGGATAGCAACTATTTATTTTGGTACAGGTCCTGACCCCCAGGTGTGTGGTACCACACCCACTGTTATGTCTGTAAATACTCTACAGGTTGCTATAATTGGCAGATTTTGTTCAAATTCAGCATATCAATCATTTCAATAACAGGGTTGTACCTATTTATATTGTTCCAAATCCAACTCCGAGGGACAGAGCCACGCCCATTTTTTGTATTATCATCTACAGGCTGCAATTCTGAATTGATCATCTTGGAACTTGGCATATTTATTCCTTAAACCGTAACGACAGCAATTCCTTATTTTGGTGCATTTCCCGACCCCCTGGGGTGGTGTCACACCCACTTTCTTTTGTTAATATTTAGTCTCTAAATCTGGCAAAACAAACCCAACGCCTAGCCATCTTTGCCTCTTGTCATATTACAGTCATTGCGGCTATTTCATATTTCATTCTCTACATTTTAAGGTGAACATTCCATATGTTGATTACACTATTTTGCCTTATTACACTATTTTGCCAATACCGTTTTTTAGGACTTCGAATTTTTTCTAATGGTTTGGATTGTTCGTACTTGGTTTTATTTTATTTTTATATCAATGAAAGCAGTAAAGTGGACGTATATTGCAGCCTTAGCGATGCTCTAGTTTTGAATTGTCAGATATCCTCCCACAGTCACAAATAACAACTTTTGGTCTTCGAAGAAATTGTTAATGTATCTGTTATCACTCGTCACTTCAGTCAGTTATATATAAGGATAATTCGTGTTTTCTTTTTGTGTTCTTTGTGTTAAAATTATATTTGGAACGTATTTAACGGATCAAATTCAGCCAATAATCTTTGGGTTTTCATGACCTGAAGTTCATTCTGTTGTTTTTTTCATCATGCCGACCCTATTCTAGGGTTCAAAATTTGCCGAACCCTTGGCTCCTTTGGGAGGGGCCTTTTTTAAATCTAGACCCCTCTGACTAAGTCCAGGGCTATCCCTGCCAATAATGGCTGTGTTTATGATCTGAAGTTAAGTCGGGTTTTGCCATCATGCCGACCCCATCTATGATACACTTAAAGCAAATGGAAGTAGTTTTCATTGACTTCCCGTGGAAAATACCAATTTCCAATGTGAAAATCGGATTGATTAGAGCAAATAATCTTTTGATATTTTATGATCTAAAGTTCATTTTGTTGTTTTTTTTATCATGCCGATCCCATCTTTGATACACTTAAAGCGAATGGAAGTACTTTTCATTGAGTTCGTGTTGGAAATACCCATTTCCGGTGTCAAATTCGGATCGATTTCAGATTAGAAAAATCTAAAGTTCATTCTGGGTTTTTTTATCATGCCGACCCCATCTTTGATACACTTAAAGCGAATGGAATTAGATTTCACTGAGTTCGTGTTGGAAATACCCATTTCTGGTGTCAAACTTGGATCGATTTCAGCTTAGAGAAATCTATCACGCAGTACCACTTTTGGTGGCTTCTGAAGCATGGTAAATGTTGCATGTCACCTTTGAGTCACTGGAATATTCTGTCATGAGAGTCAAGACAAGTCTGACATTTGTAACAAGTAAACAAGTTTAATATAAAAAACAAACCCATATTTTCTTTGAAATGCCCACAAACTTACCTCCCCAGACAGCACTGGGGAGGTTGTGGAATTCAATCAGGTTTTGACACGTGTGACTTCCAATGACACGTGACCAGATCCCCGAGCCTTGCTGCTATTTAACGAAAGCGGCTGGCAGGTCAAGGAATTGGAAAGATTTATCTGCCAAGTCTACTCTTCATCTGGTCCATTAAACCTACCAGCACTTAGATGGCAATTGTTATGTTAAAAAAAACTTGGAGGGAGAGATGCTGCCACCGACTTGTGCTGCATTGTTGCCTCATATCACAGGAGCAAAGTACACCGGCTGGCAGTTGGACAGAGTCACTTATGCTCCTGTGCTAAATCTTGACCTGCTTGCCCCTTGTGCTGTTATTGAACTTACAACATGTGGTTGTAAAACAGGCTGCACGGGGCGATGCAGTTACCGCAAAAATGGTCTGCCTGGTACATCTCTCTGCACGTGTTTGGATAGGGGCCGTACCAATATGATCAGGATGACGAATAACTGATGTCGTGAACTGCGTTGTATTTATTTACAAGATAGGATGTCTAGCTGTGTGTGTGATTGTGTGGGTGTGTGTGTGTTTGTGATCATGAAATTTTACATACTTATGCCTTGTACCCTAAGGATGGTTCCAATTGTTTTTGGTGCATGCCCGACCCCCAGGGGCAGAGCCACGTCCATTTCTTGTATTTGTTTGTTTTTCGTCTACTAGGCGGCATTTCTTAACGTATCATCTTGAAACTATGCATTCTTATTCCTTGTACCCTGAGGAACATCCCTATCGTTCGGGATGCATGCCCAACCCCCAGGGACAGAGCCACGCGCATTTTCTTTTAGTGTGTCTTGAAATATTTTCATATGAATTCCCTTTACCCTAAGGATGATCCCTATTGTTTTTGGTGCATGCCCGAACACCAGTGGCAGAGTCACGCCCATTTTTTTGTATTTATTTGTTTGTCATCTACAGACCGAATTTCTTAACGTTTCACCTCAAAAATTTGCATACTTATTCCTTCTATCCTAATTTGAATTGTCGTAAAAGTGCCAAACACCGTTACGATAGACAAGCCTCGCTGAGACCCCCTTATACAAAATGATCTGTCCCGATAAGTGACGTAATTAGCTTCCATTTTTGTTTTTTTTCGATGTCCAAGTTTGTGAGGAGTTCAATTTTACAACAGAGAACTTTTTTATTCGATGGGATATTTAGTTGTACAATGGATTTTATTTAACCGGAGGTAATTTCAAACACACAGGAAAGTTTATAATAACCAAAGTCAAGTAGTTTGTTCATAATCGAAGAAATCCGTTTAAAATTTACCATGGTTCAGACAGTAAGTCTCTAACTCAATATCACCCAAAGTGTTACACGTTGAAAACACGAATTATTTGTCAATTCAAATCAACATTGATGTTG